TGGCCTGGGCATGCAAAGGCCAGCCCACCTCATTATATTTATTTATTTATTTATTTATTTATTTATTTATTTATTTATTGGGAAAGGTCAACCCACCCCATCCACCCATGTCAGTGAACTTGGAGCTCATCGATTCAGCTAGACTGGCTGGCCTCCCGTCTTTATCATCCCAGTGCTGGTTACAGCCATGGTCACTGCCGTGGCCAGCTTTTACATGAGATCTTTTTACTGGAGATCTGAATGCAGGTCTTAACAGTTGTGTGATGGGGGGGGAGGGGAGGGCACGGGAGGAAGGGAGGGAATGGGAGAGGGACCTGGAACTGACTTGTGAAGCAACCTTGATTCTTATCTAAATTTAAACTGGAAAATAAAATTAAAAAGAAAAAAAAAAAAAAAAAAAACAGTTGTGTGATGAGTACTATACCAACTGAGCCATCTGTCCAGTCTCTTCAATGTTCTTTGTGACAGAATGTTAGGGGGTTTATATTGACACTTCCTATTTGGCTTACCTTCATATGTGATATTAATTTCTTTCTCTATTGACTTCTGAGCTCTTCCTCCTTCCCTCCCTCCCTCCCTCCCTCCCTCCCTCCCTCCCTCCTTCTTTCTTTCCTTTTCAAAACAGACAATATCATTGAAACCTAGAATCTGTGTCCTTTGGGTAGTTTAGCAGTTTTCCCATTGTCCTTTGTCTCTTGTGTGACCCCGGTTGATGTGTCTCTAAGCAGCAGTTAGATCCTAAAGTGTATGCATTTGAAAACAATATGTATTCATTGATGAGCAATTTGCTAACTTGAAATATTTCTTTCAATGAAAATGTTTATCATCTAAAATTTATATAAGTGGTCATCCCTACTGTGTGTGTGCACCAGTGAGAGACTGGAAGAGGAGGGTACCAGGTATCCTGGTCTGTCAGTTTCTCCCATATACCTTTAGACAGCATCTCTCAATTAACCTGGACTTGTTGGTTTGATTAGATGAGTTAGCGACCCCAGGGACCTGCCTGTCTTTCCCTCCCATAACACTGGTATTATAGGTGCTGGCGTAAATATACCTGGTGTTTTACCTACATGCTGGGGATTTGAACTCAGATCCTCATGTTTACACAGCAAGAACTCTTACCCACTGAACCATCTCCCTCTGTCCTCATTTCTAACACAAAGCCTGCTGTAAGTTAAGGCTCGTTATTTTCCTAACATAACCCTCAAACTTCACCTCTTTTCTCCATTCTCTTGTCAAAACTTTACCAGAACCATAAAAATCATAGAATTTAGAAAATAAGTAGAATAATGAAGCAGCAATTTTGGATTTTTCATGATTTTTTTTTCTGTGAATCACCATTAATTTTCAATGATAATGAAAATCCCCACTTCTATGACCACTAAAAGACATTTATATGCATTCACTTACCATTCATATCAGACTTAAAAGGACCTTAGAAAGTATGTTTTTAGAAGTAGATCTCATATTCATCATGGATAACAGAGTTAACAGTACCACATCTAAAGTTTCTAGTGGATGAAATTTGGTTTCAAGGTAAAAAAATCATATCATTCACTCCAGTCAGAGACTTGAGGCTTTGATACAACTTATTCAATCACTATTCAGCCATCTCCCAACACCCTCCTTCTTGTCTGTCTCTCTGTCTGTCTGTCTGCCTATTATTTTGGGGTAAGGGAGTCAGGAGTCTGGAATGATATTTTCTTTATATGTGAATTCTGACCTAGAGAGTACTTTTGAAACACATTGGTAAAAAGAAAGTTGCTTCCCTCAAACCTTTGTCTAAGAACTCACTTGGTGTACTTACTTAGTGGATATTTCTCTTCTGTGTTCTGCGGGATAAAGAATAGTCACTAAATACTTGATGTGAGCATTTTGGGGGATAATTTCACATTTTGGAGGAAGTCATTTTCTTTAAATTAGAATGCATGTGGAAAGCCTGGTTAATCAGTGGTCCAGGTTGCCGGGCTGCTGTTAATCACAAGTCTTGCTCTGTAATCATAGCGTATTTTGGATACTCTCATTTGTATTATCTCTTAAACTCTTTGTGTGGGCACTCTGATTACTTGATTGCATCTGCTGGGCACAGTGGTTTTTAAAGCAGCATTGATGACAAAGTCATGCAGCTTTGCAGGTAAAATGAGAATCTGAAAAGACTATTGTTGGTTGAAGTATGATTGTTGCCTATTGCCTTTGCGTCATGTCCCGTGAGTTGCAGCTTGGGATACAGAAGTGCATATATTACTGCCCTGTTGCCTGTGACTTCCTCATCCTGGTGGAGACACAGGTTCCTGGCAGGTAAGAGGTCACCTGCCTTCTTACACTGAGCAGATTCACGTTTCATCTGTTTCCATTCAAAGAAGACTGTTAAAACCAGATAAAAACATGGATGGAATTGCATTTCATGAAAATCCAGCATGGCCTGAGAGAGTTCTTATATGGGACTCTGCAGTTCCTAACATCAGTGGTTGTGGGTGCTGAGTTTCAGTATCACTGGCACTCACAGACCTGCCTTACCATCCCTGTTCTCTTTCTCTCTCAGCTTGCGGATAGTGGACCTCTCAGTTTTGTGTTTCACGCAATTATCAATGTGGTTCAGGCCAGGTTATACCTATATGTGACATCTTTGATATTAGAAGTGGAAGGAATTTGAGCCCCCAGCACAAACAGAAGGTCCCCCTGGCCTTCTCCCACCTTTTCCTGTGAAGACTCAGAGGTTATAAAACCTCAGAGGATTTACTTGGCTTTTCTTGACTAGGTCAGAAGATCTTGACATGAGAAATGCTGGAGACCGAGGGGCACGGGCAGGCTTCCTTACGTCTCTCCCAGTTAGAGTTACAACACATTGTGCGCCGGCCCTGCCCAGCCTTTTTTCAAGCTGACCAAGCTCCACCAGACCTTCAAAAGCCTCTGTAAAAACCCTCCAAGTTTTTTCTTTTTTTACATACTGAGGAAAGAGTGCTTCAGTGATAAAATTCCCACAGATTAAGGGTCCTGTATTCAATCCCCGGCTTTCAAATTCACAAGCAACATCTTCAAACAAAAACACTCAAGCCTAGCTGTTTCTTTGGCTTGCATTTCCTTATGAAGGTAGCATTGTGTGTCATATGCAACAAAGGTTGCATAATCTATATGCTTTTCTGTAGTTGATTTGTCTTTTATAGTTGATGTAAGCTTTCGAAGAAGAAGGAGAGGATCCCCTCCATTCATCATTTTATCTACTCCAACCCTACTGGCAAGGCAGAAGTATTTGCTTACCTACCCCCCAATTGACTCAAATTGAATTTTCTTTTCTTCTATCTGCTTTTGGGTAGGAGGAAAAATATTTACTCATCTTGAGTTTAAAGACTTTGGTTTTCCAATATATTCTCTCGGAATAATATTAATTGTACTTTTTTTTTTGAGATAAAGACTCACTGTGTAGTCTAGGCTGGTATTGAATTTGCCCTCTTCCCTCTTCAACTTCCCAAATGCTGGCTTAACAGGTGTGTGCCATCATAACCCGACTTCAGTGGTAGTTTTTTAATTTTCTCTTCTATCTGATACTTAGAGCAATTTGTATCCCAGCTTGGGCCTGTGTTTCCACCCTGCACATGAGTGCAAGTCAAGATGTTGTCTAATCTCTCAGACAGGTGTCTTACTCATAACCCTTCCATTAATGACCTCCTATACTTCCATTTTCTGTTCTGGGTGGTTTTAATTTTCCTCAGCCTTTGGGGAAGGGCAGTCCAAGCTGCACACTGCTGTAGTTACTCTGGTGATGTATCTGCTTTGCCCTGCCTTGGGTTTAACTTCCTTCCTTCCTTCCATCTTTCCTTCCTTCCTTCCTTCCTTCCTTCCTTCCTTCCTTCCTTCCTTCCTTCCTTCCTTCCTTGCTTTCTGTCTTCTTTTTTTTTTTCAGGACAGGGTTTCTCTATGTAACAGCCCTTGCTATACTGGATCTCACTTTGTAGACCATGCCAGCCTTGAACTCACAGAGATCCACCTGCCTCTGAGTGTACCACCACATTTGGCTAGCTTCATTTACTGATCCCATGACCTTATCCTTTATTTCAGCAAACTCTTGTCCTCCTTTTCTGGTCTTGCTCTGCTGACACTAAGCACCTAGTCCTTTGTGATGTTTCTAGTCACACTTTTCCCCCATTAGTATCTTTTTTTTTTTTTTTACAGTGATATAAACACAGGCAGGTAGATCCATTTTCAGGTAAAAATTAGATTTTTTTTAATTTTGTGTACCATGTGTATGGCTAGTGCCCAGGGAAGTCAGAAGAGGGCCTTAGATCCCTTGGGATTGAGGTTACGTGAGTCTGTGAGCTACCACTGGACGCTGGGAACCAAATTCAGGTCCTCCACCAGAGCAGCAAGAGTTCTTAACTGCTGAGCTGACTCTTCAGTCCCCAGGCTTGATCTTAATTAAAGCCATAATTGTATCAGTTAAATTCCCACATCTTGGTTGCATCTTTTGCAGATACAAGATGTAAACATTACTGGTTTCCTCTGAGTTACAGATATCTGTTAATGTTCCCTTCAGTTTGCTGGTGTTTGTGTGATCACCACATTTAACTCAAAGTTGGGCAACAACTAGTATTTAATAAACGTGGGTGTTTGTGTTCTCTTGTGCTTTGTGGAAGACAGTGATGATATGGAGATTTACAGGGCAATTTAAGGGTGAGTGTACTGCTTATTTAGTGAGAGCACGTTATAGGTGTCATGGAAGTTACTTTTTCAAAGGGTATTGTTCACATCAAGCTAGTATTCTCTACTGTTTTATTCTCGGTGGCCTAGCATTGTTTAATTTATCTTCACTCTTTTGTGTTGTAATACTATAATCTGCATGCTGATATATTGCCTCATATCCTTATTTTAACATCGGCTATGAAAGTAGTAATTCAATATACAGTTTTATAATAGTGCATACCTGTATAAGCTTTTCTTTGTAAAGAATCATGATTTCATATCACAGTGTCCTGTTACTAAGTTCAGTTTGTTTCTCTCCTCAGGCAGCAGCAGATGTCACTTTCATTGGACCTGATACTCATGCTATTCAAGCCATGGGTGACAAGATAGAAAGCAAACTATTAGCCAAGAGAGCAAAAGTCAACACAATCCCCGGTTTTGATGGGGTAGTAAAGGTGAGAAGCTTTCATTTGAGTCTCCATGGTACGTGTCCTCAGTCAAACATTCTGTGACAAGTATGGGATAAAATACAATTATTGTTCATATATATGTACATATATATGAATGTATATATATGTGTGTATATATGTATATATGTATACACATACATACATGCATACACACATATGAGAAAAAATAGAGTGGTTTAAGTCAGACTGTTTTCAATGGTATAAACTATGAGCGTGGAGAAAGCATTGTATGTAATGAGTATATGTTGATCTGTATTGTCATTGGAAGAAATGTACATGGGGATGCAAAGACAGACAGATCTCACTGAGCTTGAGTTCAGCTTTGTCTACATAGCAAGTTCCAGGCCAGCCAGGACTGTATAGTGAGACCCTGTCTCCCTTGGCATCCTATGTATGCTGCGGCCATGCGTCTGCCACTCTGGATAGCTTGATATCAAGCTCTGGACACACTGGCCATATCAAGAAAGCCCGCATGGCTGCAGATCTTGGACAGTTTCTAAGTTTCTCAGGGCTGGGGTTGGCAAAAATGTTGAGGTTTTCTATCACAAAGGTACAAGGAACCTCTCCAAATAGGCTTGACAGTTCATTTTATTTGGCTTTTAGATTTTAGTTTTTCAAATGTGTTATAATATTAACTATGTATTCCAGTGCATAGGACAGCTATAAATATTGAATGCTATTGCTAGGAATGTAAATTTTTGGAAACTTGTGGAAATCAGTGTGGAGGGTCCACAAGAAACTAAATAGAACTACCATACTATCTATCTGTACCATTCTTGGCTATTGAGCTGAAGAAATCAAACTCATCATACAACAGAGAACCTGCATACTCATGTTTATTCATCAAAGCTGTACAACATAAAAAGAAAGTGTGTTATTTATATCTGTTACACAATGGAATATTATTATTCAGCCATTAAGAAAAAATTAGGGGGACTGGAGAGATGTTTCAGTGGTTAAGAGCCTGCTCTTCCAAAGGTTCTGAGTTCAATTCCCAGAAACCACATGGTGGCTCACAACCATCTATAGTGGGATCTGATGACCTCTCTGGTATTAAGTTGTACATGCAAATAGAGCACTCATATACATTAAATAAATAAATAAATATATCTTTAAAAAAGAGTAAATTGTGTCGGTTGTAGGAAAATTCATAAAACTGAAGATGATAATGTTTAGTGAAGTAAGCCAGACTCAGAATTCCAAATATTTCTCCTAGATATGGGGCAGGAGGGTCATGAAAGTAGAATGGGGAGAGGCCTGAAGATAAAATGAAGTTGGTTAGGTTGCTTGCTCAGTATGCCCAGAACCTTGGTTGAGTCCTCAGCTCTGCAGAGTCCTACAATCCTAACGGAGAGGAGGGCCAGATGTTCAAGGTTAACCTCGTCTATATACTGAGTTTGAGGCTGTCCTATTCTACTCTTCATGAGACTCTGTCTCAAAACCAATAATAAATAAATGAAGGAAAGGGACAAATGAGGGTGGGGTAATTATGGGTAATAAAGGATAAACAGGATCAAAACATCTTTATGAAGTATAAGTGTGTTGTTTTACACTAAACAACTTGTAGAACAGTCTTCTCTTCCATTTGTCCTTCTTTCCCCTCTTTTTATTCTTAGTTCTTGGATTTCCTTTTCATTAGAGAGAGAGATGAATGTTTAAAATGTAATTTCAAGCAGCCATCTGGTTCCATTTGTTTGTCTTTAACAAGTTTAGTTTTATTTATCATTTGTGGGGTGGTTTGAATGAGAATGTCCCTCATAGCCTCATTGGGTGAATGTTTGATCCCTAGTTGATGGAACTGTTTGGGAAGGATTAAGAGTTGTGGTCATGTTGGAGAAGGTGTGTCACTAGTGGTGGGCTTTGAGGTTTCAAAAGGCCTTTCTATTCCCAGTTATCTCTCTGTCTATTGCTAGTTGATCAGATATAAGTTCCATCTACATGTGTAGTAAAATGCCTGCCTGCCTGCTGTCATGCTCTCCACCGTGATGGTCATGGATTCTGCTATCCTCAGAATTGTGAGCACCAAATTAAACTGTTTCAAGTTGCCTTGGTCATGGTATTTGTCATGGCAATAGAAAAATCACTAAGAAATCATCTAATTAACTTGTTCCTGGGAAATGGAGATCAAAGCAAAGATTATAATGTGAGACTGTTGTACAAGAAAGCAGAGTTCTAGGGTAAGGAAAAGGAATTAGTCGGCAGTTGCTTGCCACTTACCCTGATTGCAAAGAGCTTGAAGTTCCCAAGGGGCCAACAAACATTCAGACAGTTTAGTCTATCTCAGTAACACTCATCTCAGTGGACACAGAACCATATAGGAAGGGCATTGGATCCAGGTTTATAGCTAAGCAGTAGGTGGGAGGCATTGCGTTAGGTATAAGGGAGTGTGTTGCTGGGACTCAAGGCTGTCGGTAAAACATGGTCCTGGAGGATCATGAAGCAGAGTGGCAGGGTCCCCTCCAGCATAGCATGAAGGACGACAGCAAGAGAGCTGGTGAGGGTTGAGGTATGTGTGACCACAAGTTCTGTGCAGAGGCTTTCCTTGTGGCTGTGGGATCCTCTAGCCAGTTCCATGCAAATGGTTAACATGAAACAGTCGTGTAAGAGGAAAAGTCATTCCGAGGAGTGAAGGATGTAGCTCAGTAAGTGGAGTGCTTATATGCCTTAAACCCAGGGTTCAATCCCCACCACCGAGTAAAACGACCATCCCAGTACTTTAGGCATGAGGAGCTCACCTTCATCCTTGGCTACACAGTGGGTTTGAGGCCAGTCCTGTGTCAAATGAATTAATGAATGTAGCCTAGAGTTAAAAATTAAGGTTGATACTCAAATTGGAATCCTCTTCCCTTTGTTCAGTCAGGAAACGATGAGCCCTTATATAAAGTGTTGGGGTGAGGTAAAGGCCATGTTGAGAAAGACAGTGAAGGTTGGGTCAGTAGGGTGGCGGATGCATTGGATGTCAGCTACGAAGCAGAGGGTGAGTCTCTGATGATTATAGTTGTAACACTGACAAAGTGACTTTGTGGGACATGAATTTAATGTCTTTGAATCATTATTGCATTTTAATAGGAATTACTAAGTGCTGTGTTATAATTCCAGCACTTAGGTACTAAGATGGGAAGATTTCTTTGCTTCAAGGCCAACCTGGGCTACAGAGTGTGCCCCATGTCAAAATTAAAAAAAGGAAAATAGAGGCATGGGGCTGGAGAGATAGTTGAAAGCATTTGCTGCTCTTCCGGAGGATCTGAGAGACTCTGTTTCTGAGTACCCACATTGGATGCCTTACAATCACCTAAAACTCCAGAGAATCTCATACCTCTTCTTGCTACTATAGGTTTCTGCACACATGTGATTTGCACATAAATAATAAAATAAGATTGTCAACGAAAAGACAGGTAAATTCAGCCACACTCATCATGATGTCACTATTAAATACTCACTCTGCTACTCATGGTTCAGGCTATGTTTTTTTCACAGGTGTGGCAAACACACATATACACATAAATAAAATTGATAAGTCTGCTGGGCATCGGTGGCGCACGCCTTTAACCCCAGCACTCGGGAGGCAGAGGCAGGCAGATCTCTGGGAGTTAGAGGCCAGCCTGGTCTACAAAGTGAGTTCTAGGACAGCCTCCAAAACAATACAGAGAAACCCTGTCTCGAAAAAAAAAAAAAACCAAAAAGATAAATCTTTAAAAAAGGCAGTAGTAATACCCAATTGCAACACAGAGCAGGGTATAGTAATATACTTAAATGAGTTTTTCAGTCAGGCAGCCCTTGATATTAAACCTCACAACTTGATTTTTAATGCCCAGAACCTAACTGTGAAGGAGAGAACCTCTCCCTACAAGTTGTCCTCTGAGCTCCACAAAATAAATAAACAAATGAAAAAAGTAATAAAAGTTTCAGTCTTGCTTTAATAGAAAGAAAGCTACTGTGAAGAAAATCATTAAAAATTATAAAAGAAGAAAATGGAAACCAACTCTATCCTAGAAATTAGAAAATAATATATTAAATGGTAATATTTTCTACCTGCTAAGCAAAAAAAGTTATTTAATAATGATGCCTAAAGTTTTTGTATTTTTATAAAAATATGATTTCTCTTTTATTTATTGCCTTGTTCCAGCTATGTTTACTGTGGTGTTTTAATAACTTAAAAGAAGAGTATACTAACTATCCCAAGGTTTTTGAAAGCACAGTCAAACTTCAAACCTGAGTGTTCCTGATTTTAGCATCTACAGAGCCTATCATGCTGGGTTAGAAAATACTTAGGAATAAAGATGTGGTTGACTATACTGAACATACACAGGCTGTTTGTCCTCCATTCACTCAATGATGCTATGTAATAACCATTGGCTTAGTGTCTGTGCCATGTTGGCCATTTCAAGCATCATAAGAGGGTGTAAAGCACAGGACATGGTATGGGAAGGTTACATGTATTTAAAATTTTCTCTTATACGATACATTCCAACCTCAACTTCTCCTCCCTCCACTCTTCCCAGCCCGTCCCTCCTCTCCCCCAGATCTGCCTCCCCGACTTCTCCCAGAAAAGAGCAGGCTCCCCAGGGATGTCAACCCAACACGGAACAACAAGATACAATAAGACCAAGCACAAACCTTCACATCAAGGATGGACAAGGGAACCCAGCAGGAGAAAAGGGGTCCCAAGAGAAAAGACTCAGACATACCCCCATCCCCACTGCCAGGAGCCCCCCCAAAGCACCGAGCCGAAAACCGTAACATACGTGCAGAGGACCTGCAGCAGACACATTCAGACTGTGTGATTGTCGGTTCGGTGTCTATGAGCCTGCATGAGCACTGGCTAGTTGATCCTGTGGGATGTGTTCTCCTGGTGTCCTCAACCCCTTGGGCTACCACAGTTTCTCCATACCCTCTTCTAGAATAATCTCTGTGGGTAGCTGGGCCTCTTATACTACAGTAGAGTCTTCAGCTGTCCTGACTCTGAGTAATTGGAAAAAGCTAAT